GCTGATCTCATCAGACAGGCAAAGGACCGAACAGGCAAAGAAACCCAGCTACTGTTTGATCCCTAGAGAAGTACCCCCAGAACAGGGTTGAAGCACACAGGCATGGGGGCTGATGCAGAGGCAACTTGTACTGAAGCTGCCCATGCTGTAATTTTTCTATCTATTTTAAGGTTTCTATGACACCCAACAGTCTAAGCATTTCCTAGATTGGAGTCTTCTACTCCTTTATATTCTGAATATAAGAGATTGGGATTGTCCAGGGCCTGCTTCTCTACTGCCTTGCACCTTAGGTAGTTATTTTGTACACCTGCGCAAAGTCTTTGCAAAATGTTAACATTCTGATCTGTCAGCATTTTATACCCACTTTGCACTGGTGTACATAACTGCACAGGGTACAAGGCAGTGAAGAATCAGGCCTGTAATTTTCTCCCCTTCTCCTCCGTCCCCTCCCCATTAATAATCAGAAGATGATGGTCTCCTAGTCTGTCAATCTAAAACCCTTTTATAAATGCTGAATTCATTTGTTTTAATTTTTATGTTAATGTAAATAGATTCCATACCTGTTCCTTTAAAAGAACGTTAAATGTCTGTCAGGAGGTTCGTGTCTGAATGGCATAGAATAGGGAAGTTGGGGAAGATTTTCAGCTACACTGAGTTCAGACTTAGGCCTGGCCTACACTTAAAAGCTAGGCTGACACAGCTAAATCGCTCAGGGATGTTAAAAATCCGCACCCCTGACCACCATAGGTATGCTGACCTCGCCCCCGGTGCAGCTGCAGCAATATCGATGGAAGAATGCTTCTGTCGCCATAACTACTGTCATTTGAGGAGGTAGTGTTCCTACACCCACAGAAATACCCCTTCCATCAGCGTGCACTGCATCTACACCATGGGGTTATGCTGGTGTAGCTACGGCAATGCAGCTCTGCTGATATAATCTCCATAGTGTAGATAGACCCTTAGTGCAGTTGGAGGAAGTGGGGAGAAATGTGCCTCTAAAGGTGGGTCTACACTGCAACAAAAAAATCCTGCAGCAGCAAGTTTCTGAGCCCAGGTCAACTGACTCAGGCTCGTGGGGTTGCACTACAGGGCTAAAAGTAGTGGTGTAGATGTTCCTGCTTGGGCTGGAGCCCAGACTCTGAAACCCAGTGAGCCTCAGCTCCAGCCCAAGCCAGCACACCTACATAGCTATTTTTAGCCCTGTAGCACAAGCCCGAGTCAGTTGACATGGGCTCTGAGACTCACTGCTACAGGATTTTTTTTGTTGGCAGTGTAGACATACCCTGTGCAACCATTTCACTCCCCCATTCTTGGACTGTCTGGGAGCTGAAACAGCCCAGGTGTAGTTTAAAACAATCTTTGGGCTGCTCCAAACTATGCTAGCTGCAGTAGTCCTTCAGGAAGTATTTTGCCAGCGGGCGTTCAGTGGATCACAGTGCACTGCTCCTCTATGCTCCCCATCCCTGCCCCTAATTCTCCCTCTATGTGGAGGGAGGAGCAGATGGCATGGAGCCATCTATACTGGCTTTTCATCACCTGAGGATCCCCCTGTCAGGGGAATTCTTGGCTGTGACTTTACAACTGCTTCATGCAGCTAAGCAGCCACAGTTGGGGGTTGAGAATCTCTTATGTTTATTCATTAAAATTCTTTTCCCTGCTCCAGAATCTATACTCATCTTTTCATTAGAGAATCTGCTTCATTGCCTTTCATTTAGTGCCATACGGTAGTACCTCGCATATCAGGCAAGAACCTTCATCCAAAGAATGATCAGCATCAATCACATGGCCAACTTTTTCAAGAATGACTGGGAAAGAGAGGATTTGTAGGTTTATTTAATGGGATCGCTCCGTTTTATTATACTTGATATTTGATTTTTGATAAATCACTATTGATGGGGGAAGGGGAGGGGAGAGGCATTTTTAAGATTTGAGCTTTGAGTCATCTTTCCCAGGCTAATTGTCAAGTAACTGGCAGATCAGTCATGGCTGACAAGTGAGTAATTGGGAGAAGGAAGGGAGTGCAGCAGGTGTTTGGTACTAATTTGGTAAAACAAAAAGAATTGAGTACTGAGTGTGGCATGAGAGTCACTCTCACATTCATGACGTTACATGCTTTTAATACAAAATGTGTGCATGATTTTACAATACTTGGAGCATTAAGTATTACTCAGCTTCTTTAAAGGATCTTATGTTTATTTTAGAGAGGAACGGCAAATCTTTTTATACAAGACATGTTTGAGCTCCCTAACCATTAATAGAACACAGGTACAGGCTTCAAACTGAGAAGTATGGGCTGGAAATACTCCTGGGTGAGGAGGAAAATTGCTCTGTTGGGCTGGGAGATCCACCCTCTGTGGAATGACCCAATGTGGTGCCCCCAAACTGCCTGGAATCCAGGGCCATCCACAGAGAGGCCCATGTATCTCCACCAACATCATCCTGGCAGGATCTCCCATGCCCACAGCTGACCTGAGTCCCCTGAACGGAGAGGGCCTGCAGTTTGCTGTGTAGTTGTAGCTGTGATGGTCCCAGGATATCAGAGAGACAAGGTGGGTGAGGTAAGATCTTTCATTGGACCAACTTCAGTTGGTGAGAGAGACAAGCTTTTAAGCTTACATAGAGCTCTTCTTCAGGTCTGGATCTAGGTTACCTTTATTTTTAAACTTGTCTCCACAGGGCTAGAAGGAGAGACAATGACCTGTCCTCAGATCTGACCAGTTTTTGCCTAATGGGCCCCGCTATTGGCCCATTCCTACCTCAGGTACTCTCTGAAGGGATGGTGCCATGAAACACCTGGCCCTCATATTCCATGCAGGAGGGGTGAGGTCCACACATGGATGGAGGGCCCCAAGGCTCAGAGAGGCACAGTCTAGGACTCCGCTTGAATTTTTTAAAATACAGAATTTGAAATTTGCTTCCCTGCCAAATTCTCTTCTGGGAGTTCTGTGTCCTCTCCCTCCCGCTCCCCTCCGCCCCCCCCCCCATCTTAGCTTCATTGCAGCCCTTAACGAGTGACTCAAGGGTGTTTTTGATGGCTGTAATGGCATTAACTACAACAGGGCAAACAAAGAATTCTGTTCACAGGTACAGTTCTGCTCCGAAGGGACTGTACAAAGAGCTTCCATAGGGTCCATGTTGATTGGCTGGTAATGATTTTGGTATCCAAAATGCTCCATTTAAAAGTAAAAAGGTTTCCCCCCCCTCCCTCCCGAGAGCCCTGAAAATTCACCTGGGGATTCAAAGTAAGGCTGAGGGCTTTTTCCCTGCACCCTGCATCATTACAAAGAATAAGAAGTCCACAGGCCTAATTCTGCACTCCCTTAAACCTGTACAACTCCATTGTCTTCAAATTCTACCTTCATTTACGCCTGTGGAAACCCCTAGTGAATTACCTGGGGCAGTATATGGCCTGCAACAGAACCTTAGTTAACAATCCTGTGGCTGAGGCATGGGCCACCACAGAATCCAGTTCACTGTCCCATAGTGACAGGGAGTGGAAAGCAGTCAAAATGTATCTCTCGCTCTAAGTTCAGCGGATCCATCTCTGAATATATCAGGGTAGCAAATCAGCCAAGTAGGAAATTACCATTCTTACCACTTTTACCAGTTGCCACTTATCAGGGTAGAACCACGGATTAAAGGAGAAACTACTTTTCAAAGTATTTTATTAATATTGAAGGGTCATATGCTCCCCTATAATTGAAGGGGCTCACCCCACAACATGGTAAGCCTGTCTGCCAGGAGCCAAGCACTCTCAAATCCTATTGATTGTAAGGCACTTAGCCCGTAAATCAGTGTGGAAAGGAGGTGAGACATGTCCCACAATAAGGCTGCATGAATAAAAGCAAAAATGCCCCATAGAATCCCATTTAAAGAACATGCTATACACACAACCTTGTGTGCAAGGGCACAGAGGATGAAACAGCGAGTAAGTAGCTTTGTAAATGTACTGAGCCAAATCCTCAGCAGGTGTAAATCAGAAAGGCAATGCAGCGACACTTTTTTTTTTACACACCCTGAGTATCTGATCCACTAACTAAGTGAAAGTCCCCAGCACTGGCTCATCCCCCAAAGGGCCCTGGTGTGGCAACACCATTCTCAGCTGTGTGGAGAGATATTTCCCACTGGTTCACTGGACACCACCATTTAGTTACTTATCTAGCATTATCACCGTGGCAACCTCCACCTGTAGGAATTGTGCAGCTCAGGGATGCTTCATTTGACCTTTCAACAGCTGCTGCCATGCTCGATTCCATGTGCCTCACTCAGGGCAATGCTGTTTTGCCAACAGTTTCTATTCACCCAGGGGCATGTGATAGGGGGGGGGGGTTGTGTGCCTGTCATGTCCCCTTTTAGCAAGAAGTTTGGGAGGAAACTTCCTGGTCTAAAAGTGCCAGCTTGCTTTGGTTTGTAATGTCCCTATTTGGTGGGGATGTTTTCCTCTTTGTTTCTGGAATCCCCCTAACGCACACACCATACGATTTACAAGAACATAAATGAGCAGCTGCACTTCTTCAAACGGTGCCTCGTTCCTGTATCTTGAGCCTTACTAAAAGGTAAAACAGCTCCTCCACGCCTCGTGTGCAGTTGCGTGCGTGTGTGAGTGCATTACTTTCTTTCACTACTATGACAGCACATGCTCCTGCAAAGCCGTTCAAGGCATTAGAAATACAACTCCTCCCTCCAGTGCCCCATGTGTGTGAGCCGCTCAGGCTTTCTGCTTCAGCTCACTCCCATTTGATCACTGGGCTGACAGTCACGACTCTCTGTTCTACACCTCCAGGCTTCACTCTGAGGGAAGAAGGAGCAAGAAAAACACAGAAGCAGACACACAACTGACCCACAGAACCATCAATAACTTACTTCCCTTGCAGCAGAATTACAGTGGGAGGGGAAGGGAGGGAGGAAGAGGAGAAGAAAAAGAAAATCCAGAGAATTCTAGCCTTCACATATAGCCAAACTGAGAATGAGAGGAGTGTGTTTGCTCTGCAGGAACGGAGAAGAAAGAGCAAATTAAATAAACAAAAGCAGGAGAGAACTGGAGCTCTCCTCCCGATAGCAACAGTATTATTTTAGAGGTAAAATGATTCCTCCAAGCAACACTACTGAAGTCAGTGTGGATAATGTGGAGAAAGAAAATGAACTGGAGAACACAGATCAACCCCCCTCTCCAGCATCTACTACCAGCCAGGAATCAAAGGTATTTAATCCATTTGGTATATAAAAAAAGCAAATTTTACTCTGTGCTGGAGGTATATTTTTTTTACGTTGAAATTCTGAACGAGGATTTAAAATAGTGATTTATTATTGTTATGGCTTATAATGCTCTAACCCTATTACAGGTTTATAATGGCCAGACTTCAGAACTCTTGCCATTCATCTGGGTGACCCCTAGAGTTTGAATTGAGGGGGAGAAATGGTTTTGAGATTTCTTATTCTTAAGGAGGAGGGGGAATCACTCCCTTTCAATAGACTTTTTAATACTTGGCATGAGAATAGGTCCAAGGTTTTTCACTTGTTCGTGGCTGGAATGACTGAATGTGTTGCAGGTTCAGGAAACAGTCATGGGTTATTTCCTGACAGATGCTTCAGGGAACTTGGGCATTCCCTTTTAAATACATCAGTATTTGAAATAGGGCCTGAGTGGTCATTCTGGTGCAAGAATTCCTACCCATAAGAAAACCCATAAGAGAGGATTTTCTTTCCCCAGCCTCTTTTTAATTATCTGGCTCAACTTACCTTGCTAAAAAAAAAACAGCCACTCATCTCTAATTTCTGTGCTCTTAAATGTTTCATGCATGTACTTGCGAAAAGTTTCTGGCTCGATCTGTGTATAATTAGGAAGAGAAAAGTATATGAAACAAAGCAGATTTCCAAATGGTGCTTTTCTGCACCATTTATCTCACAATTTATGTTTTTATTGGTATTGCAGTTGTGCCTGGGAGCCTCAGGCATGGCCTCATTGTGCTAGGCGCTGTACAAAAACATCACAAGAAGATGGTCTCTGACCCTAACTGCTTATGTCCGGATAGATATTTAGAAACCACAGGACCTAATGGCAGTTTAGCTCAGGGGTGGGCAAATGTTTTGGCCCAAGGGCCACATCTGGGTATGGAAATTGTATGGCGGGGCATGAATGCTCACGAAATTGGGGGTTGAGGTATGAGAGGAGGTGAGGGCTCCAGCTGGGGGTGAAAGGCTCTGGGGTGGAGCCAGAAATGAGGAGTTCAGGGCATGGGAGGGGGGATCCGGGCTGGGGCAGGGGGTTGGGGTGCAGATGGGGGTGCGACTCCAGCTAGGAGTGTGGGCTCTGGGATGGGGCTGGGAATGACAGGTTGGGGGTGCAGGAGGGTGCTCCAGGCTGGGATCGAGGGGTTCAGAGGGCAGGAGGGGGATCAGGGCTGGGGCAGGGCGTTGGGACGCAGGAGGAGGTCAGGCTCCGGTTGGTGCTTATCTCAAGCAGCTCCTGGAAGCAGTGGCATGTCCCCCCTCCGGCTCCTACATGGAGGTGCGGCTAGGCTGCTCCCATTGGCCACAGTTCCTGGCCAATGGGAGCTGTGGAGGCAGAGCTTGGGGCGGGGGCAGCATGTGTAGCCCCCTGGCTGCCCCTATGTGTCGGAGCCGGAGGGGGGACATGCTGCTGCTTCCAGGAGCTGCACGGAGCCACAGCACACACAGAGCAGGGCAAGCCCCCGACCCCGCTCCCTGGCGGGAGCTCGAGGGCCAGATTAAAACATCTGAAAGGCTGGATGCGGCCCCCGGGCTGTAGTTTGCCCACTCCTGGTTTAGCTGATAAGGGGCACATTGTATCTGGATTTAAGTCAAATGGCTGCTTTAGCCCACAGTATACATATATTCTAGTATATCACAGAATTCCACAATAATGACCTAAGCACTGTAGTAACAGTATAATAAGCCACAGTTCTTTCACAGGTACCAGCTTCCTCCGGGCCCCGGGGATGCTCAACCGTCTGCTCCACACCAGGCTCTGCCCCCACCCCTCCCCCCAAACCCTCATCCCCACCTCTTCCCATCCATGTTCTGTCCCCACTTCACCCCCACCCTGCCTCTTCCCACCCAGTTCCACCTCCTCCCCTGAGCGCTCTCCATCCCCGCTCCTCCCCCTCCCTCCCAGTGCCTCCTGTACGCCGCAGAACAGCTGATTGCGGTGGGTGGGAGGTGCTGGGAGGGAGGGGGAGGAGTTGATCGGTGGGGCACCGGTGAACGGGAGGCGCCGGGGGGCTGGCTGCTGATGGGTGCTAAGCACCCACTATTTTTTTCCGTGGGTGCACCCATAGAGTCAGCACCTATGCTTTAGGCCATGCTGAGAGTGTTCTTTGGTACCACAAGGAAGAGAATTAGAGAATTCTTTAAGTAAAGGCGCACCTTTATATTTAAAAGAAAAAACCCTGCACCATCAATATTCTGCAATAATGACTCAATACTATTGTGAACTGTAGGGCTTTGGGACATCACTGTAGAACACAGACACATTTTTAGAGGAGATGAAAAAAGAGACAGTTATTCACTGAGGGCCCAGCTCCACCAGGACCTACCTGGTAGGTATTGAGCAACCTTGTCTCCCAGAGAAGTCCGTGGGAATTGAAAGTGCCTCACAGGAGACACTCAGCACTCTACCCCATGGACAGATGAGATGCATGAAGGTGAGGTGCATAAAGGTGTGTGCTGGGCCATGGCTCCTTGTGCTGTATGATACTGTCCTCAGGCAGGGCCAAGCAAAAAGTTATAAAACTTTAGGTTCCATTCATCTAATCAGACGTTGCTACTACTGTGTGCATGAAGTGCGTCTTGGATAAGTTAAAAATGCTTTCTGCACAACAAAAATGGACTAATTTTAATCCTACAATCAGATCAAGCAAAATATTACCTGTAAAATTATTCGTCTCCTGGTCATACATCCATACTACTCCCAGTAATGCCAATGGGAGTTAGGCTCATCTGGCAAGAGGTCATGATACTGCTAAATGACTTATAGTCGAACAATCATTATTAGCTTTGCCAGTCTCACACCACATATGAACAAGCAAAAGGCCTAGATGTCTGTGCAGTTTTGATCAGTCAATGCTATTATTTGCATATAAAAACTTCAACACATGTAATGTGTATATTTATGTTTTGAGTATTTATTTTATATGCAATCAGAAAGGACATTGTATTCTCCATTGTATAGAAAAAGCCACTTTAAAGATGAACAGGGAGCTCTTCAGCAGTATAAAAACTTCTGAGGAATAAAGACTCATGGGGCCATATTTCAGAAAGCTGGCTTGAAATGTGCATACACAAACTGTTGTATTCAAAAAGAAGATAGCCAAGCAATACTGCAATACCTGACTAGCATGTTTTGAGATGCACAATTTCAGGCTATCAGAAAAGCAGCTGAAATTTGGAGGGATCTAGCAGGCAGGAAGTGAGTGGTTGGTGAAAATCTAACTTTGTTGCCATGCAATTTTGTGCAAGTGTCTTCAAAGATGTTTATCGGGCATTTCTAATTGGACAGCCTCTCATAATTGAATCACATTCCTTATATGGAAGTATATCCCACTTAATAGTAAACTGCAATGCCATGTAAAAATATCAAGTACTCCTCACAAACCCTGCATTGGCTGAGTAAGTATTGTGAACTCCATTTTACAGATGAGGAAACTGATACACAGAAAGGATAAGTACAAGATTCTGATACCCTCACTCATACTGACTAGCACCTTAATGATTGGTTTCAGTGGAACTGCTCACAGAGTAAGGTACAATTCAGCATGGGTAAGTGTATTTGAATCAAACCCTAAATGATATGTTCAAGGACACACAGCTGGAGATGCATTTAAATGAGGTCTGAATGTTGCCCAGAAAATTCAGGAGAATCTAACTCCCAGCACCACACTCAGGCCACGTCTACACTATGGGGACTATAGAGGCATAGCTATAGCATCGTATAACCCCATACTGCAGATGCAGTTTACACTGACGGACAGGGTTTTTCTGTTGGTATAAGAACACCGCCATCGCGAGCAATGGTAGCTAGGTCAATGCAAATATTCTTCCATTGATTTTGCTGCATCTACACCTGTTGGATCCATTGATTTAGCTGCATTTACACCTGCTGGATTTTTCACACCCCCTAAGCAGTGTAGCAATGTCAACCGAAATTTTAAATGTAGATCAAGCCTCATTCCTCTCAACCATGCTGTCAATGATCCTTTAGGCTTTGGGTCATTGCGTTTGAATATATGAAACATTGTATAGCCCCTAATATAAACCAACAAACATGTGCATAGAACATACGACTTTATGTTAAGGAATTCCGTAATATGTTTGCTTTACTCTATATAAACACAAGTTTTCAGATTATCTGCCCTTAATTTAATGAATGAGCTACCTGAGGGAACAGTATACTGTAGATATTGTTATTTCAGATGTGTATTCAAAGGGCAATAAATATAACTAGGCCTGCTTGTAACAGAATATAAATTCCTGCTCTGTTCAAAAGTCTGCAGCTTGAATGGTTAGAAATACTGTGATGATAATAGTAATTTATTAGGTATTACAAGCATTTATTTGGCACCTAAGTACAACGGAAATGGGTGCTTTAGATATATAATAAGAAGAACCTTAAATGGGTTCAAAATTAATAATAATTTGTAATAATTATAAATTATACTATGCACATATGTTTGTAAATTATGGCTCCTGTGTATTTGACCCCGCAGATCTAGTGAGAAGGAAAAGGCCAGTTTTTGTAGGGTCCTCTAGTTCCGCAGCTAAAAAAAAGGAAGGAATTGACTAATGTATTCTGTAAGAGAATTTATTTCTCTGGGATCTTGTCACTTGCAGGGGTGCTGGAACAATTTGTATAGTGGGGGTGCTGAGAGCCATTTCACCAAACTGTAGACCCTGCATATGATGGAAACCACTTCAAGATGGGGTGCGGCAGTACCCCCAGCACCTCTAGTTCCAGCCCTTATGGTTACTTGTGCCTTTTAGGCACCTTTGGATAAATCCTATGGAAGGTAATAGAAAATTATAACATTTCAATTTTTGCACTATGTTATTGAATTCAATAAAGAATTCTAATCCCCGCTATAATGTTTGATAGGATGATTAAAAAGCCTGCGAGAAGGAGATAATTCTCCATTAAATGCTATAGATTTTTTAGAGTTATTGGTATAGACACTGATTAGTTCT